TTGTAAATCCTAATCCCTGTATCTGTGGCTCAGGAATTCTTATGGTGTAGAGGTTAAGCATTAGGCTGCTAACCTCAAGGTCAGCAGTTCAAACCCATCAACCGCTCCTTGGGAGAAAGATGTATCAGTTCATGTCTGTAAGGAGTCGACAGAAAGAGAAAAGTTTCCTCTAAAGAGAGCACCTAAATTCAAGCATCTAGCCTCCTAAACTGTGAGAGAATAAATTCGTTTGTTAAAGCTACCCACTTATGGTATTCCTATTATAGCTTCAATAGATAAGTAAGACAGATGCAAAAGTCACCAACGTTTGGGTGAGCAAGAAACAGCAGAAATGGAATCAAAGGACTTGGCAAAGCATCAATAATTCAAATTCATGACCATGAAACTCAGGGAACCCTGCCTAGCAATCGTGTTTCTTTAGTCTGCTCATTCTTCCAAGCTCTTTGATAAGGATGTTTTCTCCTTTCTACTCAAACTTCTAATGTCTCCTTTGTCTGCACTTTCAGCTAGTTACCAAACTTCCTATTTCACTAAAAAAATACAAGCAATCCAATGAAAATTTTCATAAGCTTGCTTATTGTTGTTGTTAAGTGCCGTTGTATTGATTCCTACTCATAGCCACATTATAGGGTTTCCAAGGAGTGGCTGATGCGTTTGAATGGCAGACCTTGTGGTTCAAACTGAGCTTGAGGTTGAGGGTTTTCCCTGTGGCACCACACTTACCACATCTACTGCATAACTACCACTGACTTACATGCTGTCTTCCCTGGAAGCCTTTAGAACGTTCAATTTCCTATCTCAAGATAACCCTTTGTCTTGTGAATTAGATCCCACACATGGTCTTGTCCATTGTAGCACTTAATTCTAGTCCTCTTCTGCCCACACTGTTATTTCTTCTGAATCACTGCCATTAACATACCTAAACCGAAACTCACTGCCATCCAATCAATTGGCAACCCTATAGGACAGAGTAGAGCTGCTCCTTAGGGTTGTTGTTGTTGTTCGAGTAGGTCCCAACCCATAGCTAACCTGTATAGGGTTTCCAAGGAGCAGCTGGTAAGCTTGAACCGCCAACCTTGCAGTTCAAATGGCTTCGCAGTCTGGCGCATTAACCCATAGAGTTATGAGACTGTAAATCTTTATGGGAGCAGACTGCCTCATCTTTCTACCAAGCAAAGGCTGGAGGGTTTGAAACACTGACCTTGCAGTTAGCACCCCAATGCTTAACCAACTGTGCCAGCATAGCTATTCCACTAACTTACAAACACTTCTTGTTCCTTCCATTTGTTAACTGCTATCTAATGGGCCCAATGAAATGGACTGTTTTCCAATCCTGGGCCATTCCTTCGATCAGACAGCTGGATAAGTAGAGTTCACTGTATATAGATTGGTGGGTCTTTCTTATTGGTCCATTGTGGTCTGGAAGCTCTCTTGAAACCTGTTCAGATTCATGGCAGCAGGCAAGCCTCCTTGGAAACATGGATAGGGGCTGCACATGAGGTACATTGGCTGGGATCAAACTTAGGGCTCCTGTAGAGGAGCTGAGATTTCTAACACTGAACGGTCACTGCCCTCACTCCCCTCCACTTAAAGCAGGACTGTTTCCCTTTGCAGAGTTGTTTACACTTCCTGTTCCAATTCCTCTCCTCTTATTCTCTGTTAAACCCATTTCAATCAAGTATTTACTCCATCTTTCCACTGGAACTCTCTTTTTTTTCAAGGTCACTAGTACTGCCATCCTATACAAAGTTGCAAAATTGTTATGGGTAGGAACCAACTTGGTGGCATCTGACAACAACAACAGTATTGTCATGGGACTGTGGTGGCTCCATAGGATAAGTACTGTGCAGCGAACCACAAGGTTGGCAGTTTGAGCCCACCAGCTGCTCCATGGGAGAAAGATGAGGCTTTCTGTGCCGGCAAAGATTCAAAGCCTTGGAAACCCTACACAGGGTCTATATGAGTCAGAACCAACTCAATAGCACTTAACAAGAACACCACCGTCATGGTCTCAGGCCATGGTTTCCCCCTACCTCTCCACACTCCTTTGCAGGACCCTCCTTAATCCCCCACAGTCTCACACTAAAATGTCTGCGATTCAGTATTCAGACCTCCTCTGTCTCTACACAGACTTGTTTTCTAGGAATCTCTCCAATCTTATGGCTTTAAACCCTTCTGTATGCTGATGACTTCCAAATTCATATGCCCAGCCCTGCCCTCCAGATTCATATATCCAACTGCTTACTGCACAAATTCTCTTGGTTATCAAAAAGGCACCTTGAAACTTAATATTCCAAAACCAAGTTCTCAGTAAGGACCCAAACAACCAATTCTATTGCTGTCAATTCAGTTCTGAATCATGGAGACTCTATGTGAGTTCCTGATGTTGTTATTATGAAGTGCAGTGGAGTCGGTTCACCTCATAGCGACCCTGTATAGGGTTTCCAGGGCTTTAAATCTTAATGGGAGAAGAAAGCCTCATCTTTCCTCAGCTTGAACAACAGACTTTGTGTTTCCTAGTCCAAATAATCCACCACAAATCTTTTCTTAAAAAAAATCCATTGTTCTGAGTTACAGCAATCCTACAGGACAGAAAAGAACTACCTCATAAGGTTTCCAAGGTTGTAATTTTGATGAAAGCAGACAGCCACATCGAGGACTGGCTAGTGGCTTTAAAGAGTCAAGCTTTAAGGCAGCAACTGAGTACTTTACCTACAGTGTAACTAGGGCTCCCTTAATCTTTGTTACAGTCATCTTTATTTTAATTTACTCTATACTTCCAGTTACTAGAACAAAAAAAAGAAATAATCTTTCTTTGTCCTCTTTTTCTTATATATCCCACATCTGATCCGTCAGTAAAACCTTCAAAATATATACAAAATATAGCCATTCTTACTTCTTTATTATCACCCTGGTCCAGGGCATTAAGCACTCCCTTTTCTATTGTATCGATACTTATGGAAGCAGCAGTCAAAACATCAAACAATGTATTGCATTAAGCAAATTTGCTATATAAGACCTCTTGAAAGTGCTAAAGTGTCCATTTAAGGACTAAGGCATGCCTGACCCAAGCTATGGCATTTTCAATAGCTTCATATGCTTGTGAAAGTTGGACAATTAATAAGCAAGATCATAGAAGAACTGATGCATTTGAATTATGATGTTTGAGAAGAATACAGAAAGTACCATGGACTTCCTGAAGAATAAACAATCTGTCTTGGAAGAAGTACAGCCAGAATGTTCCTGAGAAGCAAGCATGGCAAGACAAGATTTCATCTCTCATTCTTTGGACATATTCT